GACCCACTTCAATAAAAATGTATACAGTAACTCCTCAAATATCACTATTTTTGTGGCATTTCTTGGACAACTTTGGAATACTTTGTCCAAGTTATGTATCTGTTTACCATAAATTTGAGTAGTTTTTGTCTTTCTCATTATGCTCTCGTAGTTTTGAATATCTTGATCACATGTTTTTGTTGTTTCAGCATGTAATACAGTTAACGTGCCATGCATATACTTTCTGTGACTAGTGCAAACTATCCATGCAACAGTGTGAGAATTGAAAGTTGTTGTGATTATTAAGTAAATATATCATGCTTTAAAAGAAATATGAGGTATTTAGATTAAAAGAAAAGCACTTAACATAATCAAACATGGATGAAAATAACTTCAAATGAGATATATTCCAAAACTAGGAATTTAATTTGTCATTAGGACGAATGAGGTGGTCTGTCTTAAATTCTTATGATAGATTTGAATATTTACTATATAGAGAAAGGGAGAAGTTAGATAGACATGTAATCAATGATGATGATGATGATGAACATGATGGTCATGATAGTAATGGTGATGATGATGATAATGATAATGTTAATAATGATAATGATGACGATGATGATGATGATGATGTTGATGATGATGATCATCAGACCATGATGATCATCATCATCATATTGATGATGATGATCATAAGCGTGATCCTGACATCTGATTGAAAAAGTGAGGGGACATTTAGATTGCATATAGTCTCAGCTACAACATACCAGCGATATTGCTCGCAAAAGACAAGAATGTAGAATCCAGATTTTAGAAAAAGTCATCTTCCATAGGGATTACATGCAAAAAGTAATGGATCAAGTGATAATAGGGTAATAATAAAGAAAAAATGTTTGTTTATTACATTATTTGCGATTCTATGTGTTTTAATATTCAAAGGAGATGGTACAGTGAAAGGTCAAAGGGAAAAAAAAATGAAGAAAAAAATTGTTGGAGACGCCCGGACTCGAACCAGGGATCTTGAGGTCGGAAGTCAAGTGCATTACCGATATACCAAACATTTCCCATAGCGATTACACATAAACAGAAAATAGAATTCTCAAATCCCACTTTGCAAGTGAAATATGAGCATGATCCCGGCATCTCATCGAAAAATAGAGGGCCCACTAGTGATAGCTTATTGTCTCAGCTACAACATACTCAAAGCTCAGCAAAAACGAAACTAGAACAACAGAGATATTGCTCGCAAAAGACGGGAATGTAGAATCAAGTTTTGAGAAAAAGTCATGTCCCATAGAGAATACATGCAAAATATGACATTGACATGCCTCCTTTAATCGCAAATATACGCCATGATGCCATTGTAAAAATGAAAAATTGTGGTGAGTGCATTCGTAGAGAAATGTCTCAGCTAGAACATATCAAAATTTGGAAGAAAATTGATCAATATTAACAGATATACAATCAATTTTCCAAAAATATGCTGACGTCATAATATGCAAATTGAAATTTTGAGTTTGGAGGCCATTATGATGACGTCATGAGTTAATTGAGGGTCAAATAAGACATGAAATCATATCTCCGACTCATAATCTATCCAAATATGAAGAAAAAAATTTGGAGTTCCCATCCATTCTGAAGAGTTACAATGAATTTTGTATACTGGTAGGCATGTTTCGCCCATGTATTGTGGGTAAAGATAGCGAAGGTCTGCGGCTGATGTCAACTTTGACGGACGCTCATTGCGTTATTACTGGTCAGAAAAAGGTGAACAAGGTAGCGTTTTTTGCGAAATGCTTAAATGGCCTGAAACGTATGTAAAATGAATTTGAGACGATTTGAAGCATTTCGAATGCGCTCGCATTTTTTGACCTGAAATTGACCATACGGATATTGACCTGGATCATGATAAATATGAATGAGAAATGACTTTCCGTTGCCATATGACAATGACCTATGCCAAAATTGAAAAAAAATTGACTAAACTGATCTTGAGATATCCTGCACACAAATAAGTAAAGGAGATAAATAAAAAGAAAGAATACCAAGGAAAATTCTGATGAAAACAATAGGTGATCTGTCGTAGACGACAGACCACCTAATTAGCCAAGGCATGCATGTATTTTGAAAGGTATGTGGCTGCTATAAAAGGTGAAATTTAAGCATGTTCATGGACAAATTTAGATCTGACAATTAACAGTAGTAGATCTAGCACATCTTTTCTGTTATAATATCAAAAAAGGATAACATATGTGTACAGCATATAATCATTACTGCTCTTTTTTAAATTTCCATGACCATCTCCTTGACATTTACATTAGTACAAACATACCGGTATGGATGATGCCTTTGCACTCAATGTAGAGTAGAACTCCGTATTGACTTCCATTCGAAGTGTCAGGTCACTCAGGTTTGGCATAAAACACAGTGCTTCTGCTAGGTGATTTGATAAGGATAGTGTCATACATCTGACATCGAGAAGCATGAAAATCTGGACCTGCATTATTTCAATTCAATTAAATTCAAAGTTTATTCAACACTCAAAATGGAATGATAAAAAAAACTATAAAGAACAAGATAGTGATAAGAAATAACAATGGCAATTTATGAAGCAGAAAGGAGGGATTCCTTTTATACGAGAGCCTACGCAATAAACAGAACACTAAAAAATAACCTCTTTTGTGAGTGTATTTTAAGTGATTTTAAAGTATGGTGCCTTTTGAACTAAATTTGAACGTTATTGACATGTGCCTTTGTTTAAAAAAAATGTGTACTCCTGTTCACGTTTTCATCTCACCTAAAAACCACCAATTTATCACGCGACTGGAAATCAAGTGTTTATGACTAAATAACCACTTGACCAAGCAAAAAGTTCTTTATCCATTAAGCGATGGTGGCGATAAATAAGTAATAATTTGGTATTTTAAGCACCTTTATTGATTGGTTTTACAGGTTACCCAAGGTTGATGGTAATAATCACGTTACTTACACCGGCTTATCGTCTTATTGTTCTGTCCGTAAATATCTGGTTGTATTCAATTAGTAATTCTGAGGTGTCTTACACACCTCTTTTAAATGGTTTCAAAGTTACCATAACTTTCTTTGTGATGATCACGTGGCTCAAGCTGATTACTAATCTAAGCTGTGAATCCGTGATATTCAGGTGTGAACAATAAGTAATTCTAAGGTGTCTTAAAACACCTTTTTAAAATGGTAGGCAAAGTTGCCATAATAGTTCTGGGGTGATGATCTCGAACGGAAGGACGCACGGCAGCATTACTATGTCCCCTCAAACTTTGTCGGCGAGGGGATAAAAAAGTAGGCAAATGACCATTAAAACATGAAAACTGCAATATAAAAATTATGCATATCGCATGATTTTTGTGAATTGTTCTGGGCTGTATTCATTATGATAGGATAAGAGATAAAGTATTTAAAGTATTTATAACTCTCGATTTCATGTGCACATGACCTATAAGTCGGGAGGTTTGTTGCTATGGTACAGTTTGGTAAATTCAACCCTTCATTCAAATTGGCTCTTACAAAACTATATGTTATATTTTTCATATCAAACTAGGAAATGTTGGATATTGATTATTGATCAAAACAATTTCAATCTTATACACCCTTGAATTTCAACTGAAGCAGTATATGTGTAGTTTGCCTTCATTCCATGTTTCGTGACTTTTCCAAAATACCAAGTGAATGGCCTTTAAAAAAGGGGTATGAAAAAAAAGGACAAAATTATATAGGTCTGCACTGTATAATAAATTTCACTGCTGTTTCTGTCAATATATGACTATTTTAAATTAGGACACACATACCTGTATGGATGATGCCTTTGAATTCAATGTAGAATAGAACTTCTCATTGAGATTCCTTCCAAGTGTCAGGTCAGTCAGGTTCGGCATAGAACAAAGTGCTTCTGCTAGGTGATGCGATGAGGCTGATGTGGGACACAGGAGATCATCAAGCTTGATAGTCTGGACCTGCATTGTTTGTGAATATAGTTAAGCAGCACGTCATACATGCATATTTACTAATTTCTCAATATAATCTTACATTTTTCACAAATTCCATTAACTACGTTTTTGCATTTATAATAACTTTCTCACCAAAAATGAATGAATAGATTTTTATTCAAATTCAATTCTTGTCTATTGAGAAGAAAAGAAAACAATTAATTTTTAAAGGAGAGGATGATTTAGTAAGAATGATTTTGTTTTAAATTTTATATGTATTCTTTATAGGGCTTCCAACCTGTTTGCATTGATAAGTCCTATTACTATTTACACTGAAATTAATAGTTCCCAGAAATAATCATTTGCTTTTAATGTATGTAAGGTATTCATAACTCTCGATTTTGTGTGCTCAAGACTCCTAACTCAGGAGGTTTGTTGCTATGGTACAGTTTGGTAAATTCAACCCTTCATTCAAATTGGCTCTTAAACAACTATAAGACACATTTTTCATATCAAACTTGGAAAAGGTAGATAGATATAGATAGATAAATATAATTTTATTGTCTTCTTCCGAAGAATGAAGAACTTTCCTTCCAGGTGATACATAGTATACACATAAACATTTCACAGCTTATAAAAAAAAATTAATATAAATACATTCATACCAAAATATTCAAATGCATACAAAATACAAAAGTATGAAATCAATAACATACATAGGTAACAAATTACATAAAACATAAGGATGAAGGGAAGAAGACAAAAGGAAGAGATAGAGAAAGAGAAAAGAAAGAAGAAGGGGGAAAAGAATTGAAAGTAACAGAAAGAAAAGGAGAGAGAGGGAGAGAAGAAGGTGAGTTATAGAGGAAGATAAGCAAGAGTTAGGAAAGAAAGGAAAAGAGGGAGAAAGAACATGGCATTTTAAGGTTTAGAAAGTTATTGGGAGGGCAGCTGCACTGCTGCTGCGCAGAGGAAAAGTACACACAAAAAAACTAAAAACCAACTCCTAAGTACAAGTTGAAATGCAAGGTAAAGTCGGTGGGCGCATGCAAGGTGGCTGTTTCGCTGAGCGAAATTTATTTTGTGGTTTTTTCAGCAAGTCGAAAATCTTAGAAGAGATTTTTAGAGTTCAGATTCTTTGTTTCATAAGATAAGAAAAAAGGTTTATTTTGTTAATTATAATATCAGGAAAGATAGATATTTATTCTCTTTCAGCCTAAATGAAGCATTTAGGTATTTTATAGAAGGTGAATTGGCAATTTAAATATTTACAATGTCTGTTGTATTCATGATCGATGTTTTTTATAGTAGGATTTGAAATGGCCTTTCTTTGAGTATTTGTTTTTCAAGGATACCTTACTTTCGACTTCGATAAGTAGCGAAGCCATTTTAGTCACTTGTTCGTGTAGTCTGTCGAGCGTCAAGTCACTGGAGATGAGCTCTCCAGTTTTCCCAGTTTTCCCGTTTTTGTCCTGTTTGACGGTGACATCAGTGAGCCCAGTGTTTCGGCAGTAAATTGCTTAGTTCCGGCCAAAGAAGTGAGTTTCTGATATATAGATAAAATGTATTAATTATAAGTTGAATTTCATTCGTTCAACTTCAGTAGTCATTGAATCGCACGTGTGAAAGTGAATATTATACGTGTGATGCTATGCCAGGGACATTACTGTATAATTTGTTGCCGTTTTGACGAAGAGTAAAAGTGGATAAATGTAAAGGGATATAAGAGAAAATAATTTAGGCGAGATTTGGTCAATTTATAATGACTTGCATTGTGTTTATTTAGTCAGAGCAAGTGAAGTTTTGCTTTGAAATATTGATGTAGATTTCTGGAAAATGTAATTTACAAGCAAGTGGTTTGTACTGTGCAGGGTGTAAATGTCACCTACTTAATTATGCGCACAGCTAGAGCCAAGCTTTATACATAGGGCTTTGCATTGGAAGCAGTCTTCATGTTTTTAGTTATCTTTGTAACATAAACAGAGAGTTATGTATTGTAGGTTTGTGAAGACTTATTGAGTATAGTTCTGATAAAGGAATTTAGTCACATTTGTAATGTGGATTATTAGGAACAAATGTTGATTTTCAGATTGGGTTGATATTTTGGAAAGATGTGATTTAAACACGTATAATGAGATAGGCTTTTGGATTTCAGCCGTAGCATTTATTTTCATTAGGCATTTATCAAGATGTTTATGAAAGTATACATTTGTAGTCACAAATGTTTAATAGTTAGTTGCCTTTATGAATTATGCAAATACAAATGCATGTTTATGTATAGGTACCAAATCACAAGGTTCAGGTTCAGGTTTAGGACAGTTTGGGTATTTAATATACAAGTGATGTATATTTATGAGTACAAGCTTATTAAGTTGTCATGGTATTAAAGGGACTCAGAAATAAGAAAACAAAGGAAACTTTTTCGTGCAATACTTATTAATTTATTGTATTTTCTGTGCATCTGATTCTCATTACAGATTGAATTTGATTCTGTGTTGTCTTCGACTCTTCGTTTGAGGAAGCTAATAAAGACGTCATAATCCCATTTCGAGTTTGGAACTTTTGCAGTTTGTATCATGGTCAGCGAACCAGTGGCTACCATGCCAACCATTGTTGTTAGCTTGGGGACAAGTTCAGCAACCCGGCATGTGCCTGTCGAGGATCCTGAGCTAACAAGCTAACAGTAGAGGGCGGATTCATTCAGTTACAAGAGACTACTAAAATCAAAAATCACCACATATTTAATGGCACCAGAAGTCACAAGTACGTGTTGATCATTGAAGTGCATGCAAGGAAAAGTCGGCGGGCGCATGCCAGGTGGCCACCATGCCAACCATTGTTGTTAAACTTGGAAAACATGTTTAACAACCTGGCACGCGCCCGTCGAGGATCCCGAGCTTAAAAAAAGAGGTTGATCCATTAAGACCAATAACAAGAGTTATAAAAAGAAATAAGAAATCGCCATTAATGTGTACAAAAAATCACAAGTACATATACAGTTGAAGTGCATGGAAAAGTCGGCGGGCGCATGCCAGGTAGCTACCATGACATCCATTGTTAACTTGGAAATCATGTTCAACTTGGAAATCATGTTCAACAGCCTGGCACGCGCCCGTCGAGGATCCCAAGCTAAAAATAGAGGGCTGATTCATTTAAAACCAATTGTTATCTTGTTCAGCATCGTTTGGTAGTGTTGAACAGACGTATTGCACAAGGTACGAATGTTCTACGAAATCTTTCTGTTTTTACACGTATCTGACGTGCCCTACCAGACTCGTTAAAGATCACTACTTGGTTAAGAGGAAATGAGGAGTCTTTAACAAGTTTCTTAAAATGTGACAAAATACGCTCATCAACTATGTCTGCCAGACATTCAGCATCTCTGCCTATTATTTTCTTTGCTGCATTAATAACCCTTCCCAGCTTTGTTCTATCCTGAACCATCAGAGATTAAACCAAACAACACAGCAGTATGTAATCACAGATTGAATGACTGAGCTATAAAAAAGCTTCGTGATATCTTTACTTACACCAAACATATTCATTTTCCTAAGAAAGTACAACCTCTGGTTTGCCTTCGAGCAAGTTTTCCTAACATGCATGTCCCATGACATACTATCAATGTGAACTCCCAAGTATTTGTATTCGGTGACAATTTTAACATCCTCATCATGTACAGTTAATGGAATGTCACTCTTAGTGCTGTAGCCGAACCGCCGAACCGAACGAAAGTTCGCCGAACATGGCACTTCCGAACCGAACCGAACGCAAAGGCCTGGTTCGGATGTTTGGCAGAAAAATGTAAACGTTTTTGCAAGCTAATAAACTAGTCATTTTGTACCTAATTTTCATGTCATGATTGCTCATTTTATATTTACTTTTTTCCCATTTTCCGCCTTTGTGATTTATGTCTGTCTAGTGGTTGGCGCGACTTCACTGGCGCCATTTAAATCCCAAATCCTGACCACGCTACGTCGCGATCGCAAGCCATAAACAAGAACATGTGCGTGACCGAACCAAGTTCAGCTCAACAAAAAATTAATATTTTAATTGTAACAATATCGGACAAATTTTACAATATAAATAATGAAATAAATATATATTATAGTATGGTATTTATTTATTCAGGAAAAATAGCGATTTTATATTTTTCCTATTGAAAATAAAAACTTATAAAAAACAGTTCTTGACGAGCCATTCAAGATGGCAGCTTTCATGACTCTAACAATAGACAACAACCGTCTCGGAAAATCTTTACAAAATATCATTTATTGACAAATTGAAAACATGATTCTTTTAAAATTGAAAATGAAACATGATTCAAGACGGAAATTCGAATGTGAGTAGTATTTTTCTTCACAAATAATTACGTTTAGAGCAGTTTTTTAATGTGAAATTCATGCTGGTCGGAAGCAGTGTGCAGAAGTCCTCCGTGCTGATGGGGCCCGGCAGGCCGGCCTGCCCTCCCAGTGCCAACCGCCGTGGCTATAACGCTGCTTGCTATTATAATATTGCCGAACCCCGAACCGAACCAAGTTCGGGTGAAAAATTGCCGAACTCTGCCGAACCGAACCGAACACGAACATAGCGTCTGACTTACAGCCCTAGTCACTCTTCTGCCTTCTGAAATCTATGATCATTTCCTTTGTTTTTTTACTATATTCAAGAGCAGATTGTTTCCTTGACACCAATTTACGAACTTAGATACTTCATCTCTGTATGGTTTGTCATCATTCTGACATATAAGACCCATGCCTACTGTATCATCTGCATATTTTATAATAGTACAGGAATCATTTTCCATCTTACAATCACTAGTATAAACACTAAACAAAAAAGGAGAGAGTACACATCCTTGGGGGACGCCTACCTTTGTTCTAATCAAATCAGACTGCGAGTTGTTAACTTTAGTCCTCTGTTCCCTATTCACTAGAAAATTCAGAACCCATGAGCATAAACTTGGATGGACCCCCAAGACCTGAAGTTTCTGTTTCAAACACAGAGGATCAATGGTAATAAAAGCTGAGCAAAAGTCAGCAAACAAGATTTGTGCATAGGGTTTTTTTTCGCATAACTTATGCCAGAGGGTCATGATGGCATCATCTACACCTTTGTGAGCCTGATAGGCAAACTTAAATGGGATCTTCACCTGAGAATGAGTGCATTTCTAACAAGTTTTTCAAAGCATTTCATAATAACTGATGTAAGAGCAATGGGTCTAAAATCATTATGAACAGTAGGATTTGTAATCTTAGGTATGGGTACAATATGAGACAATTTCCACAGTCTTGGTGGGCACTCGATATTCAGTGACCACTGAAACAACCTTTGGAAAACATTAGCCAGTTCATCATAACACAATTTGAGAGTCTTTCCAGTCAAACCATCTGGGCCCAAACCCTTCCTTGCGTTTATTAATTTCAGTTGCTTCCTAACATCTTCAATGAGAATCACAGGGTGAACTCCAGAAGAATCATCAGGCAGAGACGACTGTGAGGCAGTTTCAACTGAAACAGTGGATGGTTCATCTTGCTTTTCGAATCTTGCATAAAAAGCATTCAACTCATTTGCGTACTCCTTCTCATTAACATTATTCGGGACTGGAATGCTTTTCTTTTTCTTTTCCATTCCAGTGATTGATTTAATTCCTTTCCATGCATCTATGATATTACCTGATTTAGGTGCTCAATCTTCTTTCCATATGCTTTCTTGCACACTTTGATTAACTTCTTAATTTCATGCAGGATCTTGCGCCTCTCAGATGTGTCGTTCCTAGCAATAGCAGCGTGCTTCTGGTTAAGAAGAGCGCGAATTTTGGTGTTGAGCCATGGTTTACTATTCGAGTAGACTTTGAAGGTACGTTGTGGTAAAGTGACGTCCTCGCAAAAATTGATGTAGCAGGTTCTGGCCTCTACTGCTTCATCCAAGCTGTGATCATCAAAGAAGACATCCCAATCCGTACATAAAAGACAAGCGCGTAGGGTCTCGACAGCATCGTTGTTCCAACTCCGTGCAGTCTTCACCTCAGTTTTTGTTTGCTTCAGCTTTTGTCTGTATTTGGTAACAAGAGAAACTATACTGTGGTCTGAAGCTCCCAGACTAGGTCTTATGCGAGCCTTATATCCTTCCTTAACATTCCCATAACATTTATCAAGCACCCGTTCACCTCTTGTAGGCAGATTGACATATTGAGAAAACTGGGGCATGTGGTTATCCAGCATACAATTATTAAAGATAAAGACCAGTTATGGTCATGCGATTGCATTGTGAAAGAAACTTTGTGGAATCTATCAGAAGAGGTTGATCATCTAGCATATAAGTATTGGTGTGTACTGCAAGGTTCTTGAATCATCAAAATGATAAGAAATTTTGCCCTGTCTTCGTAAAGTTACAAGCACTGTACACAGAATGACGTATATGGGACTATACGCACACGTGCGTGACACGTGCGTTTATCTCTCACAGACCATAGATAAAATAATTTACCAAATATATCAATTAGTAGCTAGGCGGTTTCCCGGCAAAAATGTTATCATCATGTATAAGTCAAAACATATTCTTTCACATGATTGGTAACAAGAGCTTCCATTTCATTTTTTTGAAATTGGGGCGTTTCCAATACTGGTCTTTACCTTTAAAGTCACCCAAAATCAACTTTACTGAGTCAGGCGATTTCCTTTCCAGTTCGCTGTGAATGTCAGCAATTTTTGAGGCTGCATTCACAGTGTTAGCTTGTGGGGGAATATAGACAACAGTTATGAATATCTGGTTGAATTCTCTGGGCAAGTAAAATGGTCTCAACCCCAACGGTGAGCAGTTCAACGTCCGGGGAGCATTCACGTTCTTTCACTGATATATTATTGCACCATTTACTATTGATATATATGCATACACCTCCTCCTCTTTCTTTGCCTGATTATGAGTTCCTATCCATACGTACACACTCAAAGTTATCGATATCACAGCTTGCCTCTGTTACACTTTCATTCCACCATGTTTCTGAGAAACACAGGAGGCAGCTATCTCTATACTCATATTTATATTTTGTTTCAGCATGAAGTTCATCCAATTTATTGTTAAGAGATTGAGCATTACCTAGTATAATTGATGGCAGAGGTGGGTTGAAACGCCTTCTCCACAGACGTGTGCGTAGACCACCCTTCTTCCCCCTTCTCCGCTGGCGTAGCTCAGGAAGGATGTCAGTGTTGGGTGCAACATTCCTCGCATTGCGGAGAGCCCGCAGCTCGGTGGGTGAATAGCGAATAACATTGCCGCCGCTGTACGATGCTGCTGGTACCGGTATGTCACTGCACACAAACTGATGTCCACATACACGTGTACCATGCACTCTTCCCCCGTTCAGTAGCAGTAAAAAAACAGTCCAAGGCACATTTACCTTCCAAAATATGGCCCCATATTTGGTCCGTACGATGAATAATACAACAGTCACACAATCAAACCGAAATTATCCAGACCAAAAACAAATAAGACGAAAAAGAAACGATTAAAAATCATAAACGAAGAAAACACAAAAATCACCTGGTG